TCTAGTACTCCTTTCAGATACCGAAGAATATGACAGATAGCATTCCAATGAGGTTATGAGGAACATGCATGAACTAACTCACCACACCAACATAGGTGATATCAGGACATGTAATTGTGAGATAAATCAGCTTACTTCTCCACTCTCTGCATCTAGCATCTAACTTAGCTATGGAGTTCAAGGAAATATCAGTTGAAAGTCCACCAAGAGTACCAGTTTCAGACAACAAATCCAATACCCAGCAAAACTAATCCATCCCTTGAACCATGAAACATGGATCCCAAGAAAATATAGATGATAACCTAAGTCTTTGGCAACCAAGCGTTCCTTCTAACGCTCAATTGAACTACCAGATACTTCACTATGTAGACTCAATTATAAATGTCATGCTGCTTACCAAAAGAGAGAGTAATAAGGTCTCATGTTCAATTCTCAAGGACTTTCATTTCCTTGTACATATAGCTAGTTTTCAACCAAGAGATACCAATGCCTAGTTCAAATACAGAAGACATAGTCGACACAAAACAACGAAAGAATAAAAAATGTTGATGCAAAGAAACAAAATTAGAAATGTGATGCTTAATGAAGTATTTACCAAAATGTCATTGCATGACCACAATCTCCAAGTAGGTTGATGGCTAATTGTGAGGCCCTTAGCAGCATGGTCTCCACCTAATAGCTTGGGAGGTATAACTCAGCTTCTAGGTGGATAGGAGGGGGGAAGCGACAAAGAAGAGAGAGAGAGAGAGAGAGCAAAGATAAAAGATAGAGAGAGGAAAGGAGTAAACTTGAAAAAAAAATCCAATTTCTGTAAAAGTTTAAATTTCATTTTGATTAATTGGAGTGTTAGGAGTTTGTTTATAATGTTTAAATTTCATTTTGATTTTCGTTTAAGTATGGATTTATGTTTTAAAAGTTTTGGGTTTTCATTAGTTTGTAATGGGTTTGATGTTTGGAAGGGTTTTGGTTTAATTTAAGCTTTGGGGTTGGTTTTTGGGTGATAGAGATGAAGCTTGGTGGAGGTTTGGAAGCCCCCGTGGTTGGTTGTGGTGTTTGAGTGGAGTTGCAGAGGGTGAACCAAGGGAGAACCGGTACTGAAGTGGGATGTACTAGTTACACGGCTAAGTTGTACTAATATGTGAGCAGATTTACCGGTACGAATATATGTTGTATCAGTCAAACCCTCTCTTTTGTGATGAACTGGTACAGTAGAAGTTGTATCGGGACAACGAGAAATCGATAGAAGATGAACAGGTACAATAGAAGTCGATTTTATCTTTTTTGTCGCTAATGTCGATTCGATGAGGGATTTTGACAAAGCTAACTTGAAATTTATTTTTAAATATTATTTATATTATATGTGTAAAATTTAATGGAAAATAATACTTTTCTATTTTCTTTGGCAGTTTCAGGTCAGGTACTACAATTGGTAGCAAGATTTTTCAAATTCCTTTCAAACTTATGAAATATATTTTTTTATGATTCTTTAACATGTTTTGAAATATATAATTGAGTGTTTTGAATATTGACTTGAATCTGAACCCAAACTGGAGTTGTTAAGTGCGATTCACACTAATTGTTCGTATTGTTCATATTGATTTTATCATTGAAATTATTGAACCTCTGGGATCTTTTTAGAATTAAATGTAAGTTTGCAACGATCGAGTGGTGTAGAGTTTACGTTCCAGGTTGAGGCCATAGATGATTTTTCACTGAGTTCGTAAATGCTTAGGTTACCCAGTTAGTCTTCGGACTTTTGTATTAAACTTTGACTAGGGAGTGTATTTTTCTCGAGATGCAAGTCCCCTAAAAGGTTTCATCATATGTTCGTATTGACCCTGAATGGTCTAGTAGGATAATCGTCAACCAATGCAGCACTTTATTGATATTGTGATCGTATTCAATATTTACTACTCTATTATTTATGTATGAAATGAACTATTTTGATATTGCCCCATCATGTCAAGTTATGTTATTTTCAAACTCACATGTTTGGAACTGAGCTACTCTATTGAGATATTGATGTTCACTCTAAATTATTTTTCCTTTTTTAGATCAGCAGGTGTTAAGAAAATTCGTGAATGATTGAACTGACAGTTTTTAGAGTTTTCATTCTAAGTATTGAAAATGTTGTTGACACATATAAATTGTAGTGAACTTGATGTACATGTGTGAAATGTAACAAATCAATGACTGAGTCGTATTATAGTTGTGTATAATATGTTTATCTATTGACCTTAATAGGAAACACTCGTTATATTTATGAAATTGATATCAAAGTTTACTCATTATTTGAAGACTTCATCGTTTTAGTACCTATGAAGGCGCTATTAGTGCTCTAAAAATTATGAAAATAGATCATGACGTGACAAAAACAACAACACACTTGGAAAAGAGACAAAATTTGACTAAAAATCGATTCATCGAAAAATATCAATCCAAGCACAACGGACCCAAATAGATCGTATGTACTCTATTCACCAAAATAGTTGCCCAAACACAGACAGGAGGAAAAAAAAACCAGAAATTCAAGTAAAAGTATTGAGCAACGATTGAAATGGCCACCATTCAAGCCAAAAAAACACTCAAAAACAACAAAAAGGAGTTGGGTACCCCAAATTCATCATCCCACAACCTATTCAAACCTTGGAGAGAAGATTGGAAGTAGTGGTTGAAGACCAACCACTGGAACAACTAAAACTAATGATGCCGACCCACTATTTAGGCAAAAAAAAAAAAACCTAGAAAACCACCCAAATCAAGATAGGTCACCTACAAAGACCTTCTATGTTAGAATTTGACCCACACTCTCTGATTGTCATAAATGAGAGTTTGTTGAGTAATCAATGTGAGAATTTTATATAGAATATGATTATATTGAAAGAGTTTTAATATATCATGAATAGGTATGCGAGACATGTGACAAGAAATATAAAGATAAAGTTATATCTAAATAGGTTTGAGTTATAGTACTTTATCCCCATAAATAGGGTTGTATATTATGTAATTAGTTACAATATGACCAGCTTTCAGTGAATAGTACATCGATGTATGTTTTTGGTCCGTAGATGTAGGTATGGTGTACCTAGAGGATATGTTGTATTGAACTACGTTATATTTTTATTTTTATGTTATGATCTTATTGTTTTCCTATCTTTGTTTGAATTTCTATCTTCTAACAAACATTATTTTTGTTAATTATCCATTGTGCAAAACCAAAAAATGGTATTAGAGCTATGTTCCAACAACTGATATTAGAGTTATATTCCAACAAGTGGTATCAGAGCTACATTGATGATCCTGGTAGAATAATCAGAGCTAGATTGATGATCTTAGTAAAATAATCGGAGCTATATTAACGATCCTAGTACAAAAGTTAAAGCAATGATCAAATTGGTGTTCATATTGAAGAAAACTCCATTGTCATGTGTATGATGTGGTTTGAAAGTTGATTTCATCTTGCGTACATTAAGAACGTAATCTCGAAAATTTAGTTGATGCATATTTTTATTTGGATCCATCCACAAGGAAAATTTAAAGTTGGTATAAAAGCAAATGGGAGACTAAGTTGCTTCTAGATTGTTTGAATTTCAAGAATTAACACATGTGCTGTGTTGAAGATGTTTTTTTTTATGATTTTGGGCTCTTAGAATTGCAGTGGTATTCCAATGGTCTAGGAGCTATTGGGTTGATATAAATTCAGTAGTGATGATGTAGTATCTCGTAGGTTATGAGTCATTGGGCTTTACCTTTGAATGGTGAAGTATTGAAAATTGAGACTTCCCAAGATTAAGTAAGATGCAAGTGGAGATGTACAAATGATGCAGGCCAAGACATAGGTTTTTGAAATATAGAGAGGATTGTGACAACTCAAAAGAGTAAGTTTGCATGTGGTGCTTAAACAAATTAGTGGATCAAAATCAAAGATACTAGGCCAGATTTTGGGCATGACCAAATTTGAAGAGTTTGGTTCGAGGGAGGCTATTGAAATTTGACCCAAACTCTATAATTGTCATGAAAGAGAATTTGTTGGATAATCAATATGAGAATTATATTAGAAGAGTTTTAATAAATCATGATAGGTATATTAGACATGTGATAGGAAACATAAAGAAGAAGTTGTATCTTAATACGTTTGAGTTACAGTATTTTATCCCTATAAATAGGAGTTTTTTAATGAATAATCCATCGATGTAAGTTTTTGGTTCGTAGATATAGATATAGTATACCGGGAGGGTATATTGTATTAAATTACGTTATATCTTTATGTCATGCTTTTATAGTTTTCTTATCTTTGTTTGAATTCTAATCTTCCAAATATTCTAGAAAAATTATCATAACACTAGGGCAACGAATCGATCATGTGGGTAGGCTTTGGTCGCCTAAAAAAGCTGATGTCACTTTCCGACAGATGATGTTTTCGACGAATAGCCCTTTCTAAGCCTTTTCTTTTTTGTTTCGTTGCTCTTGTAACTTTGTTGGAGCAATGGTCTGATACCAAGTTAAAGTAATAAATCCTAAGGGTTGAAAGGAGGAGAAGAAAGGGAGATGAATAATCAGTGTAGGCTATGTTATCAACTCGTACACTCTTATTTATAACAAACTAATGTGGATAATTACATTATTACTCTATAGTATAAAATAAGAAGTCTAATAGCTTGGTCGGGGGTTTCAGGTCTTGTGCAATTCTCCACCTGATAACTTAAAGTTTTTAGGTTGCGAGGTCGTAATGTTAGGCTTACTTTCCTTCTTGATTTTTCATGACAGTAATCTATTTTTCTAAGTATGTCGATAAACGCAAAAAATAATGGAAAATTGCAACCAATAAATATGTTTCAGTTATTAGTTGTCGATATTGATCAATGTAATCACTTTTAATGAATATACTTGAATGAGAGTTGAAGAAATCTATAATATAAAACATGACAAATTTTAATATGTTCATTCGACAGTCTTTAAATATACTCATCCAAGGACCACCAATATTTCTATCAAAACCATTAGGTTACCCCTAGTCCTTCATAAATTCGAGTGAAAGAAGGAAATTTACCTGCCCAAAAAGGAGGAACTCCACATAGTAAGATGTAAAGAATAACACCTGCACTCCATATATCTATTTCTGCCCCATAATTTCGTCTAAGTACTTCTGGGGCCATGTAATATGGGCTTCCAACAATTTCACCAAAACGCTGACCTACCATCCAATTAAACACAATTAATTATACTTCATTCTCGGGGAAGAAGTATGCATGGTATCGTATTAAAAATTATAACTAATATTGGTAAAATTATAATCAAAATTATAAGTAATGTTAAGATCGATCCCAACAATCTAGCATAGATCAGAACGAGGCTAGTTTTGCAACTTATAAGAAATCAGACATTACAAGCTAAATGGAATTGAATTTGGAGGCATACCAGGCTCGAAGAATATGGAGAGGCCAAAATCAATTGCCTTTAATGGAGCGTTGTCACTGGTGTTGGCATATAAAAAGTTCTCGGGTTTTAGGTCTCGATGTATCACTCCATGTCTGTGACATACCTGCAAGAAGTACATCCCCGTTCGGCAAAGTCCGAACAATAATTAGGAGAAAAATCTCATTTTGTACCCCAAAAAATTTAATAATTTTTATTTTATATCCTTAAAGATTAGATTTCTTACATTACACTTTTAATGCATTAAAAATGTTATAATGTGACTATTAGTTTTGTTGCTCATTCTATCAAAAACCACCTTACTAACATTAACATAATGAGCAATGAAAGCTAAAAGATGTATCATATTATAGTATTTTTCATATATTAAAAGTGTAATGTAAACATAATAATTTACTTTCCTTCGATATTACCCTCATTTAGAACACGCTAAAATGTAAAACATTGGAGAAAATTAGCAAAAAAATATAAATTTAAGGTCGAAAAGCAGTAATAATGGGCATTCGATAGAGTACGTGATTTGTCTCACATGCATGGATCTGTATTCTTTAAACTTTGTCACTTTGTTCTCTCAATTGACAAAATAAAAAATTAAAGAATGCGGACCAAAATAACACATATTGAAAATATGATCAACTCAAATGATACAAGCAAAAACCTTCGACTAAAATGACACAAATTAAAAATTGAGAAACCAAATCCCTTTAATTATGGTTAACTTAAACTATCATTTTCGATTAAATCAAAATGACACATACTAAAAAAACCAGAAGAACTAAAGGTAACATTAAATAATAAGTAGCAGATTGTCATAGAACTAACATTTGGTTGATCATTACTATATTTAGTTCAAAATTTAAATGCCCAAAACCAGAAAGAGAAATATATTAGGAAGTTGTATAAATTAGACTTTGATCCCCTCACACATTGCTGACTCAACCATCACACTTCTCACATTACACCTCTAACGATGATAATTATTATTATATTGTCCCCTCAATTGCACTTATAACTATTGCTCCTCATTACACATTGCCAACTTTAAGCATTGGATTGTAGTATTTTACTATACGTGTGGATATTTTCTCTCAAAACATGGCGTACTTTTAACTTCAGGGTAACGTAAAATTGATTAAAGTAGTTGAGAAGACGGTATTAAAAACACAATAATTAATGAGACAAAGTGGAACTAGGAAAATACCTTGACAACCTCGACAATGGTTTTGGTGACAAGAGCAGCAGCTCTCTCCGTATAATGACCAGTGGCCACAATCCTATCGAACAATTCACCACCCTCACAAAGTTCCATTACAAGATAAACAGCTTCTTTATCCTCATAAACAGCCTTGTACCTCACAATATTTGGGTGCATCGGCAAATGCCTCATGATCTCAACCTCTCTTCTCACATCCTCTATGTCAATCTCCGTCCTCAGCTTGCTCTTCGATATCTTTTTGCAAGCCACAGACTCGCCGGTTTCTTGGTCCAGACATTGGTACGTGATCCCGAACTCTCCCCTACCGAGCTCTTTTCCGAATTGATAACGCCGGAAAATGTCGTCCCCTGAGGGGTCTGTTAGGACGGTGATCGGGCGGGAGAATCGTGGGGGGAGGGTGGTGGGTGTGTGGGGGACATTGGTGCTTTCTTGTGAGATGGGTTTGAGATTGAGTTTGGTTCGTTTCAGAAAGCTTGCATTTCCTTGCACGGACATGCAGGTCCCCATGGGAAGGGATTGTTTGATTTGGTTTAGTTTCTCTCTCTTATCTCGTACACATCCCACGGGTCGAGGGAGGAGAATGGAAACCCCGATGAATATGAGAGAGAGAGAGCTAATTATGGGGAAGAATGTCCGGCAACAAATTCAGTTTGAGTTTGAAAAGTCGTTACGTGGCTTTGTTTACGTATCCCGAGTTTTCCCCGGTAGATCTAAAAATTTAACATAATTTATTAATTTAATTCACTGTAATTTTTGAATTGATTATAAGTTCTATCAAATATTAAAATTTGGTATTGATCTAATAATTTTTATTAAGTCACATCATTATGTCAACAAATTAGGTCAAATTTTTAGATCCAAATAATATTACTTTTTACTCAGAGTCCTTTGATGCTATTAAGTTTTGAGAAACGCTATTTAAATTAATTTATTAATTGAATAATGTAATTTCATTATAATTATTAAATTAATATTAAATTTTAATATTTAATAATATCTACGTCAATATAATGATCGTAATAAATTAGGTCCAATAAAATTGGTTTTACGGGTAAATAAGTTGAGTGTGAATGGGTAAATCTTGGGCATGAAGTTAAGGGTTTAAGGTGGTTTAATATGCAAGGGGTGGAACCACGGGTTTTTTAAAAAATAAAAATATTATTTAAACTTAATTTAGAGATTTAATTAATTTTAGTTGTTAGATTAAAAGTGAACTTAATCTAACGTTAGAATTCACAACTAATTCAATAGTTGTGATGATGTGTTCGGCACAAGTGAGTAGAAGTGAATTGTTTGAGGATTTGAGAATCACTGAAATGTTTGATCAGAGTTTCTAGACTCTCGGGGGTTAAGCCATTGACTCAATAAGATGACTAATGACGAACGTGAATAGAAAAAGGATTTATAATGGTTCCCCAACTTAGAAAGCTTGATTTATCCACTCTAATGAAATCTCTTACTCTCGGAGAATTCTTTATTAATTGAGGGAAGGTGATTACATAGTGTAAATGAACATATGACTGCTTGATTACAATTGTGAGGGATTTATCCTCTATTTATAATGTATAGTTGTCCTATGTGATCTCTACAATCCTTCTGTAACCAATGCCCTTCTAGCGTAATCAACATACTATCCCTAAAAGCTATTATGACTAATGTGCCAGAATATTTAGTCTTACGGTTACGTTCTATAAGAGTAACGTGACTTTCTAAAAGGTGGCAGTTGTCACTGTCATCGCATGTACAAGTGTCTTGTTGTTGAAGATTCTCGATCTAATCATCCCAAACTAATGATCATGAGCTGCAAGGTCCAATCTTAGATATTTGAATTGAGTGGTCTAAGCATAACATTAACTAATTTTTGGTATCATCAAGTTGCATTGAATTATATCTCTAATTCGGTCATAAAATTTGATCCCTATAACATTAAAATAAAAAAAAAACCTATACACAAGATAGTTTATGCATAACTCACTAATGTGTAATTCATTGGGGGCTAAGGATACCAGAAATATTGTAGTCTATTTTCAAATTCAAACTAGACGAAAGTCTCAAAATGGCCAGGGAATCACGTGTCCCCAAGAATGTCAAGTATCATGGGTTCAAGTCATTCACTACAACACCCACCTTAGTATCATTGTGGGTCCCACGTGTCTAGATTTGCCCTTTGATTTTCAAGTGTCTAACGGTTTGTATTTTATTCATATCCTTAAAAGTAGGATTCATTTTAAATTTTATATTATGTATTTTGAACTCATCATCTGGTGTGAAGATGAAGTAGTAGAACCATGATCAAAAAAAAAAAAAAAAAAAATAGTAGAACCAACTTCATATCCCAAAAATAAAATTAACAAAATAAAACTTTAACTTGTGTTTCAACCCATACAATCCGACAAGAAGTACAATCCCCCATCTTCATAGGCTTCTTTTGCGAATTGAAAACAAAAAGGAAATTTATTTTCTGTCAATAATGTGTGGGCCACAAAAACATCAAAACATGCAAACGCCCACTGAATTGAGTCTAGTAAAGTAGAATTGGATTAACACACAAAAAGCATCAAAACAACATCAGCAACAAAAAATAGCCCAATCAATCTTTAGGGTAATTGAATTTGACCTTTGGTAAATTATAGACATGTCTCAGGTTTAATTTTTTTCTATACCTTCTAAGATTTAGTCATTCTTATTATTCAGAGACATGCTCTAATCCAACTCAAATCACGGTGACACTGAACTTGAAAGAATAGTCAACTTAAAACTGGACATCATGTAACAAAAAACAAAAACAGCCCAATCCGATCATTCGATTCAATTCAATAAGTTAGTTAAACCTAAATTTCCGCAACTTACATCTAAATTTGCCTCACTATTATTCAATAACAACTTGATTTCATTATACATTTATACATAAATAAGAAATCTTCAGTTAAAATATTAATATATTCAATTAAGTCGTAAAATACAATATAATAACTCAAACTGAAATAATTAGTCATAAATATCAATGTTATTTAACCAATCAAATTTAATTTGAATCAAAATTAGATCAATCTTATCAAGCCGACCTTAAATTTTTCTTGAGCCCCAGTGGAATCTTACATAGGATTCGAGATTTAATGATGGATGTTGAAATTTAATCAGGATTGATAGAAATATTCTAAAATGAGGAGGACCCACATCTGCAACTGAGGAGTAAAACAGTGCCACGTAAGAGTACATTGAACGTGTCTGTATGGGCAAATTCATGTATGAAAATGGGGGAGGAATGATTGAAGGCAAGAACATGGAACCCCGTATGACCCACTTGTATGAGGTTCGTTGAATTGAATTGCACCTTCCTGAACTTCCATATCTTTGAACCAAACCCCTCCAAAAAAAAAGTAAATAAATAAAATCTTCTTGGCTTAGACTATTGAACTTGCTTTCATACCTTGCCTTATAAGACCCTTCTCTCCAAATCCCCAGAAGCCTAATCCTCTCTCTCCCCACACCCACACCCACACCCACACCCAGCAAAAAAACACAGAATGGTAGTTATTGGATCTACAGAAGAGGTGTATCTATCTTTTGCAATCTCAGTGCTTGTGGTCTTCTATCTTTTTCTCAAAGTGTTGGAATCCCCATGGAGCAATGGAGGATTGTCATGGTTGCCACAAGATTGTTGCTTTCCACTATTCACAGGGAGACTAGTACCATTAATTGACTCCAAGGTGTAATGTACTAAAGACGAAGAACTGCTACTCCACTGGTAGTTTGCTTCATTGATAAAATGAGAGTAACTAGAAGATGCTGGGTTCTCTCTCTCTCTCTCTCTCTCTCTCTTGTTGTGAAGTTCAGGTTTTGTGTTCCCAATTTTATATTCGTTGAAGCCTTGGGCAATATGAATCTAGCGTTTCTTGTTAATGAATATTTAGTAATTGCAATTATTTTCTGTTTTGTTTTGTTTTGTTTTGTTTGAATGCTTCCCATCCTCTCTTTTTTTGGGTTAGGGGTGTGGGGAGGGGGAGGGGGAGGGGGAGGGGGAGGTTAGAGAGGAAGAGAGAAAAGAAAAGTAACATGAAATAGCATTTAATATGTTCTATGCAAACATTTTTTTTTTTGAAGAGGGAGTTAAGATTTTATCCCAAGGACTAAGCAATGATATAATCAAGAATTTCTTGAACCAGCAACTATTAATGTCACCTTTTAAAGTGTGTGAAATATGAGAGAATCAAGTCCCGATTTATAGAAAAAGTTTATCAAGACCCTACTTTACAAAATAAACACTGGCGGATATACCTGTCATACAAAAAGATTGGGTGGACTATTTGGGAAAAGGGAGGAAGAAAGCAATTTTCCAACTTCAGGCTCCCAATTCAATGGCAGCAGTGACAATATTGCTTGAAACAAGCATCCAATCAGAGAAACCAGTCCACCTCAATGCCTGAACAAATTTTGAAGCTGGGTGGCCTACTCCTTCCAATCAGTTATAGCTTTATTGTGACAGCTCAGGGAGATGCTATGGTACCGCTTGGTGGGATATCGCTACCATACCGAAAGCCGGTGTGAGCCATTGATGTTATGCTCATTAGTGCACAGTCATTGATATGTGGATTTTATTTATTTAAACTTTTGTATCTGTAAACCTATAACTTGTTCAGCCGGTCATGAAGGACAATTAAGATCGATCGTAAATTAACAAGATCGAACAATTCTTTCTGTTACAATCTTACTGGGGGAGTATTGCCCCTATAGGGGGGGGAAATGGGCATTGGGATCGATCATACATAATATTGATTGATCCTATACGGATATACATTCGAATTATTGACATAAAAAAAATGGATATTATGATCGATCTTAATTATGTACGATCGATCTTAGATGTGTTTGTTCAATCACAATATGCACGATCGATCTTAATTAAGATCATATGCAAGTGTTTCCTGTATATCGACAGAAAAAGTAAGGTTACAATTTTGCAGCAAATATTTCAATTTTTATTAGTAGGGTTATTGATGTAATAGGCAAATGTGTCAATTTTACAGGTGATGTGAGATAAGTTATCCATTAATTGATAAGTTTATCTGTTATATAGGGAAAGTTATAACAAATAAAGGTGGAATTACTCTTGTCAGTGGCAAAGAGGTAATCTTTATAGGTTGCAAGTGATGTGAGGTAAGTTATCCATTAATTGGTAAGTTTATCTGTTATATAGGGAAAGCTGTAACAAATAAAGGTGGAATTACTCCTGTCAGTGGCAAAGAGGTAATCTTTATAGGTTGAGGTTATAACATGTAGATGTAAGGTTACTATTTCTATAGGGAAGATTACACCATTAAAAATAATGTTATCACCTATTTAGGCTAAGTTACCCATTAAAAGGTAAGTTTATTGATTATTAAGGGAAAGTTACAATGAATAAAGGTTAAATAACGCCTGTCAGTGGCAAATAGGTAAGCTTTAGGGATGAGGTTATAACATGGAGAGGTAAGATTACTATTTTTTTAGGTAGGATTACAATTTTA